AGCAGGGAGCCCGATGCGGGGCTCGATCCCAGGACCCTGGGACCATGACCTGAGCCGAAGGCAGACGCTTAACAACTGAGCCACCCAGGCACCCCTTGCTTGTTTTTTATAACTTTATTTTTTAGAGCAATTTTATGTTCATAGTACAATCGAGTGGGAAATAGAGTTCTCATGTACCCCTGACTCCACACATGAACAGCCTCCCCTAAGATCAACACCCCCAATCACATTTATTACAACCAACGAACCCTCACTGACATATCAGTATTACTCAGAGTCCTTAGGGTACAGTAGGGTTTGTTCTTGGTGTTGTACATTCTACAGGTTTGGACAAACATATAGTGACCTGTCTCCATCATTGTAGTATCATATGGAATAGCTTCAGGGCCCTGAAAACCCTCTGTGCTCCACTAGTCATCCTGTAGAGCCACTGTTTGTTTTTTACCGTCTCCATGATGTTGCCTTTTCCAGAATATCATATGGCTGTAATTACATAGTATGTAAACTTTTCAGCCTTTCCTTTCATTTAGCAACATGTTTTTAAGGTTCCTCCATGTCTTTTCATTGCTTAATAGCTCATTTCTTTTTAGCACTGAATAATATTCCATTATCTGGATGTACCACAATTTATTTAACCATTCACCTACTAAAGGACATCTTGGTTGCTTCCAAGCTTTGGCAATTACAAATAAAGCTCTATAAATATCTGTGTGTAGGTTTTTGTATGGACAGGAGCAAATACCAAGGAACATGATTGCTGAATCATATGGTAAGGGTATGTTTAGTTTTGTAAAAAAACTGCCAGAAGTGAGTCAACTTTGATGGTAAGAGTTGCTCAGACATGAAGGAGCTCTGCAAAAGGCAGTGAGAAAGAGTAGGGTAGAGGGAGGAGGTGGAACCAGAGATGCAAAAGAAGGGCAGGTAGAAGGCAAAGACAGGAAAGGTTGACACACCTGCTTCACGGCTGCCAAGGCTGGGTCTAGTTGGAGACTTCACCTTTGCTTGACCTTGATTCAGCCTTCACTGAGCCAGAACTGCCAACTCGAGTTACACCTGCCCGTAGGAAATTCACCAACTGGTTGTAAGAATCACAAATCATTAATCTAATTCATGGCTTTTCCAACTGGCTTCCTCTATAAAGAAAAATATTTCTCATAATTCCCATTTCACGATGAACAAAGCACCCTGTTCACACTCAGGAATACCAGTTGTGGGTAATAATACAATGAGCCAAATTATGCTAAAGCCCCTCCTAGCATCCACACCAAAAACCCTGGACTTTTCCTTACTTTAAAGGGGTCTCTCTGTCAAAGCACTGGTGTGTTGGAGATTGGGACTATAAATTAGTCATTTGCCTTCCTTCCGGGCTATAGCCAGTTGACAGTAGACACAAGGAGCCAAACAGACCAAAGAATCAGTTTTATCAATGGCAGCAATGTCCCCTTAACTTGCGTTCGGTCATGGTCACCATCCCCTGCCCCTGCCCTGCATGGAAGGTCTGTGGGCCAGCAGAGCATGATGAACTTATTAACCAATCAGCCACTTTGCTTTAAGTTCTGCTAAGGAAGATGGAGAATGATGAGATCATGAGGCTCACTGTGCCTGGGCACAGATCCAACAAGAAACAAGAGCCCTGCCATGAATGAGCAGTGGCTTGAACACATTAACCTTGCCCAACAGAGCAATGGGCTGCTGAGTGTCAGCCTCTCACCAGCTCTCTGGTGGATGAGTCAGCGCTCTTCCTTTCTGCTACTGGGGTGGGAGAGATAAATCCACCATCCCGATTTGCCTGGGACCGAAGCATTGCCATGATGTGGGATTTTTAATGCTAAAACCTGGAAGTCCCTGGCAAATTGGGACCAGTCGGTCCCCTTCTATCCTCCTCAAGCCTTAGCACGTGTGTTGTCTCTACGGAGGGACAACAATGTGGAGAGAGGAAGAAGAGGGTTTCTCCCTACAGTGGCTCCAGCAGCCCCTCCAGGCTGATGAGAACCGGGGTCATTAGTGGATTGGTATGCGTGTGGGGATGAAATTTGGGATGTAAATACAACACCCCCTTACCGGCACTGCTCTCTGTGTGGTAAGACTAAGGGTGATTTTTATGTTCTTTATGCTTTTCTATTTTTTCCAAACTTTCTGCAATAACCATTGGTAGCATGGGAATCAGAAAAAAGAACTAAATTATTGTTAAGCAATAGGAATAAAAAGAGAAAGCCAGTAATTTAAATTGATCAAAAGTTACATTGATCAACTGGAACAGAACAATGAGTAGGGAAAATGGGAAATGTGTTCCAAATTTACCCTGGATGATCTTAGATTATCCAGTGGTCGTATCATAATTTTTAGGAGGTATCTGTTCCTCTACTCGCCCCTTCACAATCATAATCAACTATAAGTACGGGATTCTCCCAAAACACAAACTGTATTACCCTATTCCTCTCCAAATACCTTCTCTGAACTGAAACTGTGATTCAACATTATGCTCTCTGTTTAAACAGCATTTCCCACCTTGTAAGCAAGCATGGCTGAAGATACAAATTTATTCTATTACCGGCCTAACTGAGAGGAAAATCTGAAGAGGTGAATTTTTGGTCTCAATTCAGCTACTTCCTGAATGTATGGCCTTACACGTCCCCAAGACTCGCGTTCTTCATCCAAAGAGTGTGGCTGGGAGGCACTTTTCTTCCAAGCTTCAGTGCCCCTGGAGGGCTCCATCAAAATCAGTGAGCACGGAACTGTTCTATACCCTGCAGAATATTGTCCAAAGATTGACAACTACATATCAAGGGATTGACCTTTTTGCCTTAGGAACCAGGAAACATAGAAACCAATTCAAATGGAAAATAAAACCATTCAGTCATTCGTTCATTCATTTATCCAAATAGCATTTCCTAATCACCTCTGTACTTAGAACTGGAGACCCAAAGATGGATAAGTTCATCTCTAACCAGGGACCGAATCTGGGAAGTATAGTATTCAGTGTTGCTGCAAGCTCCCAGACCACCTTCCACCCAGAACTAAGAGGAGTGGTGACCATAATGAGACCCTAATGGGACCATAAGGAGACAAATCTCATTGAAAAGCAAGCTTCCAACCATTTCTCCACTGGTGACTGATAGAAACTCTTGTTTTTCTTTCCTTTTACCCAAAGGGAAAAATAAACACTTTAAAAATGATGAAAGTCCTTTGGTCAGGAGCCTGGACTCAGACCTAGAAAAACCAGACAGTAAACACTTAAATTAGCAGAGAGAAAAGATCTTCCCTAAAGAGCTTCCACGGGGCATGCACCGGGGAGGCTGAAAATAAACCCTTTGAAAAACAGAACAGGTGGGTCTCAGCCCCTTCATGACAGTTGATTGCAAACTCTATTTCAAGCTCTATCTTGGAGCAAAGAAGTAATTAAACACACAAAGGCGGACGAACTCAGACAGAGGAACGCCCACTCCCAGAGGACTGAGGCTGAGGGAAGACAAGGATGGCTTGCTTTCCCTGGAAGGGAACTGCTTCACAGGTAGGCAACACCCCATGTAATATGGTGGCTGCTGGAAGCCACCCAGTTCCCCAAATACCACGTCCCACTCCATCCTGCCTTATGGGTATCTGGAACTCCACCTCATTGTAACTGCATCCTTTTAGGTTAAGATAGTGTCCCTGTTACACAACCCACACCAGGTGTTGGTAAAAGTGGGCAAAATCAGGCCAGTCAAGTTCTAGGTATTTGCAGGAAGAAAGGAGGTAGTTGTGAGCTGTTCAGAATGGAGAAGCTTTCTCCAGGATGCCTATAAAGAAAATGCTCAAGTCTGGAGGTTCTCAAACTTCCAGTGTGCCTCAGAACTGCCTGGAAGGCTTGTTAAAACCGATTGTTCCCCCATCCCCATGTATACTTGGCGCAATAAAGAATTCCATGTTCAAAGGCGCATACCCTTGACACTTTGAGGCTGATGCTCTAATGTCTGCTGGGATCTGATGTGGCTGAGATTTCTTTTCCTTTAGTATGCTGTTCCATAATTTTACTTTTTTATTTTTATTAATTCTCTGTGATTGTGGCTATTTTTAAAATATTTTTTTTATTATTTCTATGTCTTTTGAAATGAGGGCATTTTTTTTTTTCCATGCTCAATCTATCAACTTGAGTGAGAAGTCTGAGCACGTGTTCTCAATCCTTTCCAATTCCAGGAAGCCGGCCCCAGAACATCTCCAAAAGCCCAGAGATCAATTTGTAAAACTCACATCACTCATTTTTAGAGAAACAGTTACCATTTCTGTTATCTCTCTGTATTCAGGAAGCATCGTGTATATATGGCTTGTCTAGATGCTTCCTTATTCCCTTGGCTCAATTTAATGTTTATTTATTTATTTATTTATTTATTTATTTATTTAGCATTTTTAAAATAATTTTTTCTATTATGTTATGTTAGTCACCATACATTACATCATTAGTTTTCGATGTAGTGATCCATGATTCGTTGTTTGTGTATAACACCCAGTGGTCCACTCAATACGTGCCCTCCTTAATACCCACCACCAGGCTAGCCCATCCCCCCACACCCCTCTAAAAAGAAGGAAAGAAGGGGAAACCAAGCCACTTGTTCTGGTTCTGATCTGAGGTGAATCACAGTGTATATTTCCCGCTCCTCAACCCTGCTGCAGCATATGCACCCCAGGAAAATCAAATCCATAGCTTACCAGCTAGTCTGTCCCTCCATGGGAGCAGGTTGTCAGTGTCATCCCAACTGTACCCCTTGTACCTAGCACAGTGCCTGACATAGAGGGCCACGTTGCTCTATCAACTGAGTGAATAACCGGAAGGAGTAAGCGGGAGGTATGTGACACAAGCTATATCTTGCTTGAGAAAACTGGGGGTCAGAGTCACAGCCAGGCACCAGAGTTGGGACTAGAACCCCGAATTTCTGACATTAACCCAATTCAACACATCCCAGGAGAAACAACACAACTCTGTTGATGATTTACTGACTGGACATTTCTCCAAAATGTGTCTTGTTCATCTGTGTGCTCATATGAACCCATAAAAGATACTCAATAAGATAGATGCTTGTTCGATTATGATGATGAAATGAATTAATATGATTAAGCTAAGTATTCACTTGTTTCCTAATACTTTTGCACTTATAGAACATCCTAGAATTGAGTAACAGCATTAAGAACCCTCTCCCCAGAAAAATGCATACCTGTACATGCACACAAACACACGACATTTTGCATCAATTTCAAAAGGTTCCCCAGAGCCCCTAAAGTTGAGTTAGACCTAAAAAATCCCTTTCAAAATCTTGAAACATTAGGGCTTAGAAGGGGCTTACAGATGATTGATTTCAGTGTCCTCACTTCACAGACACAGAACTGAAGACTAGAGATAAGGAGTTACTGGTAGATTGACTTCAGAGTGCCTACCGGGAACGAGTGGGGTGTCATGTGTGGAAGTGCCCCTGGGAGCTAGCTGGGGGAAGAGCGATACCACTTCCCTCACCTTCCTGAGCTTCCTGGAGGCAGAAGTGACCTATCCCAAGCTTCATAGCTAGTTAGGAGAAGCCCTGAGACCAAAATTTCTAGCCCATTGCCCTTTCCATGACCAGCACTGCCCCACAGAGGCTCTTGTGTTTTCCTCTTCATTTTCTTTTTCTAAAAAATATTCTATTTATTTATTTATTTATTTATGAGAGAGCTTGAGCAGGGTTGGGGGGAGGGGCAGAGGGCCGAGGGAGAAGGAGAGCGAGAATCGCAAGCAGACTCCCTGCTGAGGGCAGGGCTGGATGCCAGGACCCTGAGACCCTGAGCCGAAATCAAGAGTCAGACCTTGATTCAACCAATCTGCGACTCTACCGAAAAAGAGGAGGAGGAAAAAAGTGGAGGAGGAAGGGGAAGAGGAGGAGCCACCCAGGGGCCCCTCCTCTTCTTTTTCTTTTAATTGAGGTCTAATTGATACACCATATTGTATTAGTTTCAGGGGTATAATAGAATGGTTCAGTATTTGTATATATCGGGGGGGGTGATCCCCATGAAGTCTAGTTAACATCCATCACCATACATAATTACAAAGTTCTTTTTTTTTTTTCCTGTGATGAGAACTTGTAAGATGTGCTCTCTTAGCAACAGCAGAGCCCCTTCCAACCTCTCCTTCCACCCTCCCAGCCTGCTGTTGTCCCCTCCTTCCCTCTGGGCTACCTTCTCATTGACTGCTTTCTCCTATGAAATTCTTCTTCTTCTTCTTTTTTTAATTAAAAAGGAATAAAAATTTCAGCCCATAAAGTGATACATAGTTAGCATAGGATGATTGAAACCAAAAATTACTTGTGTATGTCCAGTG